AAGCAGTTCTTCTATTGCCACCTATCAACTAATATTTTAACAGTTTCATTTATGATATTTATTACAACTTATTGTTTGGACAACCAGTCTTGACATCTATAATCATGTACAATAACATTATTTAACTTAGTTTTTACAATACTACAAAGATATTATTCATTATTAAATAATATTATCATTGTAAAAAAAATATACGATTATTAACTTAATTAATGTCATAGTTTATGAAAATGTGGCTCATTCTATTGAAAATTTATATTAATTCATAAATATTTCTTTAGTTGCAAATTTTTACAGTTTTGAATCTATTTAAAAAAAACATAAATCTACATAAATTTTGATTAATTCATCCTCAAATAAAGTTTCGCTTCTAGAAGAATTTTACCAAAGTGAAGAAATATGCCCGCTTATTTCAAACGGAAAATATTTCAACCTGAAACAATACCAGTGTAAATACATTTGAATGTAGTAGAAGACTGTGGTTCAACTTGGTACTTCATAAAACATATCTTGAATTTTCGAAACATTTTCTGTAAAATATTCACAAACTTCTACAAAGAGAACTTTGAAGTGTACAGGATACAAGGGTGCTTTGCGAATTCCTCAAATAGAATGGATCCATATTTCGTATTTTGGCAATCATTATTCTGGCTTCTAACTGTTTCAATTATAATATTAACAATATTTCTTGTAATAAAAGTGATGATGAAAATTATTGTTCACCAATAAAAAAAAAAAATGAATGACTATTTTTAAAGTAATATATATATTTTTTTATTTCTTAATGACATTTACAACTGTATTACATAAATACATCAAGTAAATTAATATAATATTAAGATTCAATAACATATATAAAAAAAAAACTTTATCTCACCTTATTAAAATATTATTTTTATCTTTACTAACCCGTATATAAAATATATAGTAAGGTAGAAAGTATTGTAATCCCTAAAAAGTTTTGAACAAAAATACATGTTGTGTCTAAATAACCAATAATACATTTCACAAAAATGTATGTTTGCATGTAAACAGTCTAGCATAAAAAATGGTATTAAACTGAAGTTACGTATTTTTGGTAGGAATACATCTGGCATATTACAGTAACATTTCTGTCAAAATTGAACAACCGAAAATAAGTTGATAGAATCGATTTCAGATATTATTTCGATTTTCAAAAAAACGTCTGAAATGTTTTTTGGTTAAAATTTAACCATATTGACATAGAATTGATATTTTTTTAATATTGTGTACGTATTAACCTCATTGAAATATTTAAATAAACTTCAGTGTTTAATTCTTGGACAACTGTATCTTTTATTATGTAGAAAGGAAATGATAAAAGGTCTCTCATTGTTAGTAATAATATAAACTGGATAAAAATAAAAAAATGAATGAAAAAAATTCAATTTGAATGGAAAAGAGCAACTAGAAATAATGGAGATCAGATCATGTGGAAGCCCTAAGTGAAAAATATTTCTAAGGGTCTAAAAAAATTATTTTGAAAAATAATACAAAGACTGCAAATCAGATATTATAAATTAAAAATTTGTTTTTAGATTCCGCCGATTTTTTGGCCTAAAATGTTTAAATGAGAGTCTTCCAGTGGATTTCCGTGGTTTAATAATTTTATTACTCAACGTAATTAAATACACTCACGCTGTATGATTTCAAGAGTTCGTGAATCGGTGAATATGGTCCCGTAAAATTATGGAAACTGGCTCTACCAGTAGATTAGTGTGGCTTGAGAAAAACAGACTAGATTATTTATTTCTTTTATACTCGCAATACATATACATTTGTTTAGGTTTAAATTAGAACTTTTTTACTTTAAATTACCTATATATTTTATATACAGGTAAGAGAAAGTATTGCAATCGTGACAAATTTCGAAATCAAATTTTTAATGGATATACAATTTTGAGGCCCTCCGAGTTCCAATAATTGACTCCTGAAAAATTATCTGTGTTTGTGTGTGTTTACAGTATGTGAACAGCCTATCTCAAAAATAAAAGTTCATGCAAAACTAAAATTGCGTATTTAAGGTTACAGCAAATTTTTCGTCAAAACCGACTTACTGGAAGTAGCACTTCATATCGCCGATTTAGCAAAATTTGGATTACACTCGGTATATCTGTGTAAAATTAAGTATTTTTTAGTATAATATTGGTCTTATTCTCATTGATGTTCTGATTTATGGCTTAAATACTGTATTTTCAAAATTGCTTCTATTGAAGTACCTTTAATTTTGTTATTTTAAATATACCTTTTATTTAATTTAAAATAAATACCCACTTTACATTGAAATTATATGTAAAAAAAAAGATAAATACAAACCAATTAGATAATTAACTAATGGGATAGTACAGGATAAGAACTGTTAAAGTGAAAAACGCCCAAGATGCCCGACTTTTCCTAATATGCCTGCACTTAAACCACTCACTTCTGTTCACGGATTTTCGATTGTTATTTATTTTTAGTTTTAACTGTTTTCATTAATTTGGCTTACATAAATTTACAAAAAAAAAAAAAGGTTGTTTTCAATTATTCTCATTTCGTGTTTCTTTTTTTTTTCCTGATCGATTAAAGTTACAAGTTAACTTGTACTTTTATTTTTGTTATATTCATCTGTATAATTTTTAAATGCATTTATATATCTGTAAGGGCTCAAAATCCCACATTTCTGCCATTCTGTCATTCTATTATTCTGAAGGGACTCGCCCCAAAATAAATTTATTATTATTATTTTCGAATTTCGCAATTTCTTTGACCTTGGTCAAGGGTCAGGCTAAAATGCTAGACTGTGTTTAAAAATGTCATGACAATATTCGCTGTAACAAGGAGAACTGCTGTCTTCCCTTCTTCCAAAACGTTTTCAGGCAGGTTCAACGTCTCAATGGAGCGGATGGTATCATCTGGGATGAGGCCAATGCAGGAGATTATCTCCGGAGATTACTATTTATTATTATTATTGTTTAATATAATCTTTATTATTATTGTTTTTAGTATTTCTCAAGTCCAACAACCTACAGTTACGCCTTGTTTTTAGATATTTAAGATTTTTTTAGTGATTCTGGCAGTATCCAAGAGAACTGCTTACTGAGCTCATTTTAACAAAACAAGGGGTAATTCCAAGCCCTCTGTACCTGTCACCGTTGACTTTGGGATCAGACGATTTGTTGATATTATTATTGGTGTAACCAATACGCTTTCCAAATGGTACGATCTCTTTATTTCAATTGCCGATTCCTGGTATTTACCGAGCTTCTCTCTCACGGTTGTGTTTATATTGTCATCATTCGGAATCACAGCATCTGTTAGCTTTGCCTTTATTGTTCCTAAACTGTAATAAAGAAAACGTGTCTGTTGTGACGCACGGATGTATGATCCGTTACAATAGATCCGTTCCAATATATCTTGAGAGAGCCTTTCTGAAACAACCCAATTGGATTGTATTTATAATATGGCACCTTTTCATCCAACAGGTTAAATTTCATTGCCAGAGCCTGGTGGAATATTTTCGCCCCATTACTGTCTCTCTGCAGACACCCCGACACAGACACCAGCGAGCACTCCATATTCAGCTCTGTTATTAATTTGTCACTACTTTTACAAAAGGTTGTTTGTTTCCTTGAGATGGGGAGAATCAACTCCAACCACCTCAGATATGTTCTGTTTTAATTTCTATTGGATGTTGAGAAATCTTCTCATAATTCTTGCTGTATTCAACAGCCAAGATTTCTGAGCTTTATTTATTACGAGTTGAGAGTTCCAGCCTGCCAGTAGCTTCCACAGTAGACACTGGCATCAGGCCATTGCTGGAGATCACAATGACTCTAACGGTTACTTTATTAAGTTTATATAAACTTTTTAACTCAGCTGCTAAACCTTGATGCTTCCGATTTTATTCTGCACAGACTGAGTTAAAGTTCCCGTCGTTTGTCACAGAGATGTCTTTAATCTCAGCTATCTTAATATTACGATCAATTTACACAATTTCAGATCTGTTGTGAGTCACGAGATGGTCTGTTATAAACGATTGATTCCAATATAATTGTATACCATCTTTCTGGCAGAGAAATTTAGGGTAGTATTTATAGTAGGGTAGTATTTCAACCGAACGTTTAATAATTTACTTTTCATACCAATCGCCTAGTGATTGACTTTGGCCACATCGTCACGTCTTTTTACGTATTCGGTACCTGCAAGAGCTCCACAACCTCCTGTTATATGTTGAATGGATTCATATGTGCTAACAAACAGATACAGAAATAACATTTATCTGACAGATTCTGTTGCTTCAAGTCGTGTCGCCAGTAGAATCTGGTAGCTATAACCTGGTCCTGGATTGCAATTGAAAATCCTTCATTCTCGGAGAACAGATTTCCTTCAACCAGCCAAGGGGTTATTATTAATATTAAAATAATAATAATAATTATTATTATTATATTTATTTGTTTCCGACCTTATATGGTTGTTTGTAATAGTTGGGTACCAAATTGGTCAACCAAGTATTACATTAATATATTTTTAAGAATATATTAATGTAATGTTATGTTGAACAATATATTAATGTAATGTTATGTTTAACAATAACACATTGTCATAAACCGCAAACTTTATTTCTTAAATAATTTTTGTTATTATTATTATAATTATTAAACAAGGTAGACAGACAGTGCAACAAAACTGCAACTGGATATCTCTTTGGATGAAGAAAATTTAATTGAGAAAATTGTGGGCATCACCTTTGTATTAAGTTAAATTGAAAACACATTAATGATTAAAATAAAATTCTGTAAAACAAGAGTACTGTAAGGCAGATTATATTAAAAAGTATGTAAATTAAAAACAGAAAATCCAACTTATGGATTATACTTACGCCATGCCATTTACAAACCCATGCATAAGTATATCAAGAGTAATAATTTAAAAAAAAATGATCTAATACTTCATCGCTTCATTCTTAGTTGATGATTTTTTTTTTTTTTTTTTTTTTTGTATCATGCAACTTCCATATCTTTATTTTCTCACAGCAAGTACGTCGCATCAATTATATTATTTTGACTAGAACTACTCTTGTATGAATTCAAGTAGTATGAACATAAGCTGAAAAATGCATGTGCAAATATTGTCACACGTTATTTTTTACTTTTTAACTGAAGTTGTCGCAAAAAGTTTTCACAACTTCGCTGACAGTGTAGCAGAGTTTGAATTATTGGTTTCATACCTTTTGTGAAATAAGGATCATCAATGTATATGTCCCCTGAAGGATCAAACGTTCCGAGTAGCTGCCTGATAGTTTTTGAATTGACTGGTGCCAGTTTTGACAGATCGAAGAGCTCTCCTTCATCCATGACAAGCATATACTCGTATTGGAAGAAATCTTTATTGCTGATTTGCCTCGCTTTGTGATCATCTATTTCGTAGTTATGTAATCTTAACACTTCCATGGCTCGCTCGTCGATCTCATTTCCTAGCTGCCAAACGTCAATTGCCGCGCTGTCCACTTGCCACATATCCATCAGTGACTGGTCTTTTAAGATCTTTGTAAAGACCGCTTTGGCAATCGGTGCACGTATTACATTACGCCGACTGATGAAAAGTACACTATGATCGTAAACAACGGAAGTAGTCAAGTGACGGAAACAGATCCATAGATAAGATATTTTATCAAATAATTTAGGCATTATCTAACTTTTATATTATCTATAAAAGTCTTAGATTTATATTATATAGAAACTAACCTAAAATTTTAAGCAATTTTAATAATTGATTAAAACATATGGGTTATCATCGTTTTAATTAATAATTTAATTTCAAAATCAGCTCAATCTATTTTTATCATTTTTGGTTTATTGTTTTCAATAATCAACCATTGTGATCGACCAAAAAATTCAAAACTTAATCCCCTCTCAAAATTTGAGGTTTCAAGTTTCAAGATGCGTAGAATTCGAAAAATTAATAAAAATTTGTTTTATCCGTCCGCCGTCCGCCGCCATTTTCTCCAAAACTACTGCACCGATTTTTTTTTTTCAAATTTGGATATAAAATCAGAGGTCAGTCGAGGATGATCATCCTTCATCGGCATTACTATCCACCTTTTACTTTCAAAATGGCGGCCGAAAAACCTCCTAAACGAATGCAGCTTTTTCAATTAAACTTCGCTAAAGTCATTTTCTCGACGCCCTTTAAATTTATCTACATTACACACTCTAACGATAAGAAGCTTGAAAAATAAGTTACGAGGGATGGCAAAATTAAACGTCGAATACCTCAAAAAGTATACACTTTTTTGTTAATATTGTGATAAGATTTTTCAAAGGTATTTAAATTTCCTAAAAAAGAAGGAAGTTTCATAGAAATCAAAGGAATATTAGTAAAGATATCGCGATTTTTAAATATTTTTGGTTTATTATTTTTAATAATCAACCATTGTGATCGACCAAAAAATTCAAAAACTTAACCCCTCTCAAGATTTGAGGTTTCACGTTTCAGGATGCGTAGAATTCGAAAAACGAATACAAATTTTTTTGTCTGTCCGCCATCCGCACATTTTTTTTCCTAAGATGCCACGACGGCAAAGAGCGTAGGCATCCTCAAGTCGAGCGCCACCGTTGCACAAGTAAACCACATTTAAAAAAAGGAGATTTTCATTAACAACATCTGTTGAAAATCGGGAAATATTACTATAAACGAATTTTCAGCATCAAAGTGAATAAATGAGTTCTATATAAAAATAAACTAATAAAGTGAAAATTTTAGAGCATTCGATTCGGCGTCCACAGCTTACTGACTTTTCTTCGATAAAAACTGATAGATGCTAATGAACTAATTTTATTTCAAGGTCACCTATCAAACTGGAAGTCGTCACTTATCTTGGCAATTCCGTTTCCTTTCACAATTCGTTTCAACATATCCATCATTGTAGAGAGCAGGGATGAAATCTTAACTATTGCACTTTCTATTAAAGTATAATTTAGTAGAATAAATACTGTTGAAGTTTTATAATTCATGTGTATCTTCTAAACCAGTTTCCAAACGCCCCAAGGTTGCTACTCCTACTTGTACTTGAAATGATTTTAAAATGTTGGTGTTTAGAAGACGCAGAATTTTATGATGTATAAACTTTTTTCTATGATTTTTTTTTTTTTTTGCTTATCGTCTGTCTTTCATAAACTATAATATTTAGTATTCGTGAGCTTAGAAATAGTAAAGGGATTAAGACTTAAGATTATCCTACGTGCTTTCGAAATCAAGGCACGAAAGTATTATACCAGACCATCTTTAATGCTGAATGGTATTCCATAATATGAATAAAAAAGTCCTGCTATTATTTTCAACTAGAAAGTCACTGTTAGTAAAGAATTGATTTTTTTTTAAGAAAAATTATATGCAATTTATAGAATTTAAAATATTCAATATACAGATATACACACCTCAAAATATATTAATTTTATTAAAAATCGTTTTATATCGATAAATGGTAGAACATCTTCCTTATTGAAAATGAGGAGACTTTTCATGGTTTGTTTAAAGTACGACCGTATCTGATCGTCAACTGTTAGTATTTGAAGATATTCATTTAAAGTAATGTTTGTGAGGTACCATGGAGCTTTAGTTATAATCCTGAAAGTTTTTGTCTGAAAAGTGTAAAAGTGTAAAAGTGTAGTTTTCGTATGTCATTTTGATTGTCCCATAAATATGTGAAGCGTAGGTCCATGGGCTTAAGTATGCTACAATTAATTCACTTTTACGGTTATTTTCATTATTTTTGATCTTATATTTAATCTAGGAAACGGCTATGGTGCCATAAACAAATAAATCATAGTAATTTTAATACTAAATTAGTTTTAGATAGGTAGATAGAATAACATTATTCTGGGACTAAGTCCCTTGAGAAAAACAACATCGTACAAAAATTTGAGATTACTTCTGGCCTAAGTTACAAAACAATAAAAACTAAAGAAAATATTAAGTGAACATACTATATACAGAATGAATAGAACTACTAATCACTTAAAACTATTTACAATGGTAAAACACTTCTATGAAAAAAAAAGAAATGAAAATGAATCAAATTCTTCATCTAGTTTTAGTAGCAATAAAACATGTAATATTTCTGTGGATAGTTATTAAGAGCTGAAAGTGTTGTAATTTTCGTAATGTTCAATATTGAATAAATAAATATTATTTAAAAAGAAAATAAAGTTGACATACGATAATACGAATGAGAAAGGAAACCACATGCAGTATGAAGAGGAATGAATGATCTTAGTGTGGTCGGGATAAAGTTATTGAGGAGAGAAAAATAATATACGAGGTCTTAGAGAGTTCCTTGAACCTAGCAACTTCAAGCCATTCATTCCAGCTGCATTTATTCAATATTATTTGGCAGGACTTTAGAGATCTGTTTGTGATCAGGGTAACAAGCGACTATATTTATATTGCACCCAGTTTACTATTTACACTAATAACTATAGGTCTCAGGAAGGAATACTTTTTCTTATACTTTATTTATTAAGAATAAAATCAGATAAATGGAGTGGCTACAGTGAAAGACAATTTCCTACTTAGGAATCAGCAACTTAATATTATTATTATGCGAGAAACTTAACGTAATATATTGTTCTGGGAGCAACCTAATGTCATTATTCTACGAGAAAAAAACTAACAAAAGTATTTCTTTGAAATAATGGAGGCATAGTTGACCGCAGATGAAACCGACAAATAAAGTAGTGATGATACCAAAAAATAAGTGAATGGGGTTGGTCAAAAATCCAAATCAATGTAATAAACTATTCAATGTATGGTATCTCTTCCTCCTAAGTTGATGCCTTTCTATAGAAAATTCTTCAAATAATAGAACATATCTGACAGAACAATGTTGAAAAGTAACGACTATCTTATAGGATTTCATCAATATTGGGTTATCGAAGGAGCTTTTTTAATGAAAATACTATAGATTTTTAGATATCGCCATCTCATATCGCTTTATTGTAACTTGTCAGATCTATTCAATATAAGGGTTAATTAGGAGCTTTCTATTAAAATACTGACGATTCAAAGATTACATGTTCGCGCGTGATCTTTATATTGACGTTATTTATAAACTATAAAACTTCCGTTAATTTAATGAAAATAAATGAAAATGTATTTTATTATTCTGAGACTGTTGTCCCTTAAGAATAAATTATAACGACAGAATTCATGTGTGTGTGGTCATAAATAAATAAAATATTCACAATAATAGTTAGTTAAAAGTAAAAAGAAAGAATGAAAGAGAGGGAAAGAGAAAAGAAAATCATACATGTACATAAAACAAATACAGAAAACTAAAATAGGGGTGCTTAAATAGTTCTCTTAGGTACATTTAGTAATCAATCGAATTCGGAAAAGAGTAGGTGTTTAAAAAGAGGAGAAATTTGAAATAGGAATCTGATTGTGGTTGTCGAATATCAGAAGGGATAGAATTCCAGAGAAAGACAGATTGAGTTACAAAGGATTTGTCAAACGCAGCAGTTCGGTGGGGAGGAGGATAGAGGTCGGAAGTACGAAATCTAATGGGACGGGATTGAATGAATTATTTAAATGGTAAGCTATGTAAACTATATGAGGGTCATTGAGTTCTAATGACCTAGTACAGAAATGTAGCTAGGAAGTACCGACGTCGATGGATAGAGCCATTTCAACTCGATGTAAAACTGGTTAATATGCGTATATCTTAAGATTCCGAAAATAAAACGTATATAGCAATTCATTAGGAGTTTAAGTTTGGCTTTGAATTCTTCCGAGAATCTACCGTTCACCTTACAACCGTAGACAAATTGGGGAAAACAAGAAAGGAAATGTTGGTGATCATAAGTAACGATGGACTCCAATATGTTAAGATAAATCCAAACGTTACCGTATTATCTTAAGATTGGTAATATTTTTAAAACCATGGCCTCTTTTTGTAATCACTAAAGAAAAATTAAATATAATTACGGAATTATTAATTGTCCTATGCATTTATTTGTATTACTTTTTTTTTGTATCTTAAGTAACCCTAATCAGTTTTTTTTAGGAATAATCATTTAATAAAAGGTAATACTTTTTTTTTTTGAGCAAGTCGAATAAAATTAATCCTGTTGTTGGTTCGTATCTCTCACCTCTAAACCCAGTTAACAATTGTTTAGAGGGTATATGACTGGTTACTACAATAGAATACTAGCCTCTAAGCAAGTACTTTACCCTATTTTTTTGAAGAAAAAAAAATGCGTTTATACTTTGGAACCTTTTGGGTCTAAACTTAATATTTAAAAAAAGTTTTTCCTGGTCTTTAAATTTACAACATTGGTGCAAGGTTTAATTTTAACATTCTGCTTCAACTTATCTCTGGAAGTGTATAAAAGTGATGCTAAGAACAGAAGGCTGGAGTTGTTAAGTTAATTGGAGAACCTCCTTTACTCGTAGCTCGAACGATCACAAAGTGGCACCGCGTGACGTAACGCCATCCTGAACTTGGCAGGGAACTTCACAGCTGTTATGTACAGATATAATGAAGATAATTTGGCCAACTCTTCCACCGTGTTGTAACTTTTCAAAGGCAAGTTTTCTATCCGCCAGTACTTTGTCATTTGACGAGTTAACGTTTGTTTCTTGCGCATTAATGGATCCTTGGGTAGAAAATGAGCATGAAGTTGTAGGTTGTGTTGCCTGTTGGTAATTTATGAATGCGTTTCCTCGAAAAGAGCTCGTTTTTGTTTTGTAGACAGAAAATAAACCATCCTAAACATAATTGTAGAATTAAAAATATTCAAATTCAGTCAGTACAATAAAAAGCCCTTAGAGGATTCCACTTAAAAAATAAATAAATTAATTCATGGATTAATGGCTCACTATTTTCTTCTTATTGAAATACTAAAAATAAATAAATAATAAAGTTTTCTGTATTGTTGTGCTCATGCTAAAAGGATCTTGCAGAGAGCTGTGCTACAAAAATAAACATATGGGAAATGTTGATGAAATAAAAATTTCAACAATGGACGCGCTGTTACAAATCTAGAGTTTAATTTTAAAACAAGAGTAGTAAGGGAAAACAAATGAATCTGTATTACAACAACCCATGAAGGACCTTCTAAGAATGTGCTGTTTCAAGGCTAGCTATTGTATAGTATACTTAATTAAGAGTAGCAACTTTACAGAGGTTGAGTGTGCCAATTCAAGGCTGATGAAATAGAATAAATAATTACCATCCATGACCGGGTTCGACTTCGAAAATTTGGGAATAGAAACTTAGTTCTTTACCCATTTAGTTTACTCCCGCAAAAAGAAAAAAATTATTTATTTGTTGCAACCAAACAAAAATGATGGTTTTTGGAATAGTTTTATTATAACAACCAACTATTCAAATGCAATCGAATGATTCCTCCATGGTAGCCTTGTAAGTTTCTTTATCTTTCCCAACATGATCAGAATCACAGTTACATTTTGACAATTATATTTAACACTGCACAAGCCTGTATGCACAAAAAGAAAATTTCACGATATAAATCATATTTTTCACATTTTATCATCTAGAATTTCGGTTCAATTTTAATTAAGTGCTTAAGATTAAAGTATACTGTTAAATACTGTTGAACCTCACGTTTCAAGAAAATTTTACTTATGGGCTTTTGCATTTTGGCAGTTTATCATTCATCATCAAACCCTTTTGAGTTAAGTTATCTATCTACTGATAGCTTTGTTTGTTTGTTTTTGTTTCGATGTCTAGGCGCAAAACATCTAGGTCATCTAGATCAACCAAATAACATCACTTAATACTATTTGGATGGTTGGTACAAAAAATAAAAAAAAATAAAAAAATAAAGAAATAAAGAAATGGATTGATAGAATAAAATAAATAAATAAGGATAATAATAGACATTTATAGGTAATAAGATGTATAAAAAATGTATAAATAAATAAACTTTAAAAAATAGCATTAGAATCAATAAATGAATTGAGATTAATAAACAAATGAATTTAAAATTAAAAAAAAATAAATAAAAAGAATAATAATAATAAGAGAAAATAGAATAAAAATAAATAGATAAAAAAATTAATAAATAAAAAAATAATAGTAAATCTGCAAAGGATCATTAATTATAAGCCTGTCAAATGTGATCTTTAAGTCTTTCACTATCCAGGAACTTTATGACTTTGGTAATGATTTCTTCTTGATTTCCCAGGGATGCTGATATATTCTGGGGTATTCCGAGATCTTTTAATCTTGCCGTGTAAAAAGGACATTCTTCCAAAATATGTTTTATAGTTAGTGATTGGTTACAATTCTGACATTTGGGGACAGAATCTTTTGTTATGAGGTGGAGATGAGTCAGTCTAGTATGTCCGATCCTCAGCCTTTTGAGGACGACCTTTTCTCTACGACTGCTGCGTCTGGAGCTGGTCCACGGTTGCACCTCTTTCTTTATTGTTTTTAATTTGCTAGGTGCGCTGTTGTCCCACCGTCTTTGCCATTCTTGGAATATGGTTTCTCTCAGAGGTCGTGCAAGTTCAGATGGTATCAAAAAAACTTTACTGGAAGAGTAAGAGCTTCTTTTGCTGCTAGGTTTACACTTTACAGGTTTACATCTACTGATAGGTTTACACTCTATGTTATAATGTTTGACTGTTAAGTGGTAGAGATATATAGAGAATCGTGGAAAATATAGGACTTGGATATTATCAATTGTTGATGTTATTTATCATTGATTTAAATACAAAACCAAATGCATACTCTTTCAATAGAGCACAGTGAAAAAAATCCAATTCGTACAATTATGGTTTATTCAAATCCTGTAAAACGTATTTATTTATATCGATCAGATAGACGATGGATTAATATTATAAAATATTTTTAAAAAATATGATAATCAAAAGTCACTTTATTCAACACATGTTTACTTGAACGTGATAACAAGTGAAATTTTCGTTTGGCGGATTTCTATTGCCTACCCATGATAAAAAGTCTTTTAATTTTTTTTACTCGTGACAAAAACAGTTGTCATTAAGGTGCAACTAACTTCCCAAAGTATTCCAGAAGAAAAGCCATGGCGTTAAGATCACGCAGCGTGATCTTCGTATGCTTTGGAAATATCTGCCGCTCCCCGATGGCCGAGGCTATCTTCAGAAAGATGCTGGAAGAAAGGGGGTTGGGTGAAAAGTGGGAAGTGGACAGTGCTGGAGTAGCAACGTGGTTTATAGGGAGCTGTCCGGACCCCAGAGCCATATCGGCGCTCAGTAGCAGGAATTATACGATAACGCGCAGGGCGAGGCAAGTGACAGATAATGACTTCAACTACTTCGAATACATGCTTGCAGTAGACGACGACATACTGGCCGATCTTGAAAGGATGGCACCTGACGATGCTAAATCGAAGAGAGAACTTCTGGGGAATTATGACCCGTCAGGAGATTTATTCATAGATGATCCGTATTTTACCAAAGGAGACAAAGAATTTTTGAAAACCTTGGATCATTGCAAAAGATGCTGTGAAGGGTTCTTAAAGAGGGTCGTCTATGGTAGTAAATAATAATATTAGCACTTCAATATCAACCGAGATCCATTTGGAATATATTACAAGACGATGCACTATCCGTTCGTATTCTTATCACTATAATTTAAAATCTGTTTAATTAATTTAATTTTGTCAATTTGAACTATAGAAGACAGTACAGTTTATTTCTATTCTTTGACATTCGGTAATTTATGAAAAACAAAATTTTACATCAAAAGAGTATTTGTTTGCGAAAAAATTTAAATTAAATTATAAACCTAAAACAAATTACTATATAAAAACAAAACAATAAATTCTAATATTGGTGGAAATAAAGTAAATTTAATACAAAGTAAATAAAAATAAATTTCTTTTGAGAACTTTTTTTTTCTGTCGGCATTACAGACCATGCAGATCTTTTGCTGCCTTAACTAGCCTGCTCCATCTTCCATTTATTCCATATTTCCTTCCATTTGTCTCCACGCAGCTATATTACATCTTTGTATATTCTATATATCTGCCTGCTTTTGGCCTTCCACGTGGTCTTTTGCCTTCTATTCAGGCATTAATTTTTACCTAGAGGCTTCCAGATGGACTGCTAAAAGCTACATGCCACGACCATCATAACTTCCGTACCTTCATATCAAGGGATATTGATGGACCAGTTCCTGTAGACAGTTCTTATTGGTGTTTCTTCTCCATGTATTAGTACTCTGATCCCAGATCGCTCCGGCTATCGTGCGGAGGATTTTTATTTCAAATATTTCAACACTTTTGTCTGTGGTGCTGGTTACTGTCCAAGTCTCAAAGCCATATATTAGAACAGGCTTTATCATACCATTTTGCATTCTTAATTTGAGATATCGTTATATTTTTCGGGATTTCAATACCTTTGAAAGGGAGAGGAAAACTCTGTTTGCGCTATTTATACGATGGTATATTTCTGTCCATTGGTCATTAATTGAGGTTACTGTGGATCCGAGGTATTTTGAGAATATTCAATATATATATATTGATCATCACCACATCATATATATATATACATCACCACTTATGCCGATGACACATGTGTCCTATCAGTTAATAACGACCCAATAATCGCATCCCAAAGTCTTCAATCACACATCACCGACCTTGAAGAATGGTGTCAAAATATTGATGATTTCAAAAAATGGAAAGTCAAATTAAATCCCATCAAATCACCTTTACTCTTCGTCGTAAATCTATGACCTATTGTCCTATAGCATCATTCAATAATACCTCAATTATCCATGGTGAATAAATCGAACACCTTGGTATCCACTTAGACAACCGTCCAACTTGAAATCCACGCATCAGACTGAAACGACAATAAACCGCTCGACGTTTTCGACTGCTCCAGTACTTTCTTGACAAACGCTTTAATCTTCCCGTTCATAACAACATACTTATATTCATGACTACAATAAGACCTATTTGGACTTCATCTTTGGTGCTCCACTAAGCCATCGAATTTCTCACGTATCCAATCCTTACAATCCAAAATCCTTCGTAAAATCCTCAATGCTCCATACTTTATCATGAATAAAATCATCCATAATGACCTTACTGTTCCTTATGTTTCTGACCAGGCCCAATTCAGATATCATAAAGAACTTCCAAACCATTCAAAATCTCTCTTTTCTAATCTTGCTTTCACTTCGATCCCTGATAACTCTCCGAGGCATCTGAAAAGAAGGTGGCTTCTAGATCTCCTATTGTAAACACATTTTTAGAGTCCTACCACAGTGGGTAATTTCTCAACAAGTGGTTTCATGTTATTATATGTTAGTGTTCACATTCGCTGTATGTATTATTATTTCTAATACAGTTGTAAATATCATAAATAAAAAAAAAATTCATGTAATAATAGTAAAATAGAGTCAGTTTAATATAGACAAATTTGAATAACAGCAACACAGAATATTGCTATTATTCAATACCAATACACAGAACATAGACTGGAAACTCTAGGTGTGGTAGCAGTTTTTAAGTCGTAGATGGGGAAAGATTTTTCGAATTATTGTATAATCTGACTTACAGCGTTTTCCTTGCATTCCACCATTCAGATCAAATAGTAAATTGGTATTATTATGCCTTTGAAAGAAAATCTAATGTTAACACAATCTAATATCTCACAGTTGGAGGTATCTAGTCTTCTTATTTATTAAAAATAATCAGTATATTCTCAGACGTGCATTACCCACAATTCGCTTAGGATATCATATATGTAAACCTGAAATTTTTTAAAGATTAAAAAGGTAGAAGCGGTAGTTCCGTTCTGAAACAAACATTAGGACGTAAAGATAGCCGAGACAAGAAATGAGGGGGGGGGGGGAAGGGAGCACCAGATGCAAATATTTTTTAATGAAACAAGGGGTCTGTTAGGAGAGATCTATATAGTCCTTCTTATTCATTTAAAATAATTAGAATATTTTTAAATAGATCGGTTCTCTTTTTGAACCGACAGAAATATATATATTATAAATATAATAATTATAGTGAATACACATAAATGCCGTTTCTAGTACCCCCAATCGCCTTAGTATTCCCAAACCCCGAATGCCAAAAACGTATTATAAAGAATAAAATTATTTTTTCATTTCATTTAATTTTATTTTAAAGGATAAAATATATTTAGCGTGACCTATTTTCTTAACACCATTTTCTTATTGAACATTTTACATTCTAGCTTAAAATCAATATAGATAGCTGTCGCTTTCTGGCAAATCTGTTTAGTTTATTTTTACCAGAGAGTCTCATCTGGATTGTCTGGATTGTCAATTTGAGGTTGACTAGTATCATTTGATCCTCATAATTTCATTATTATCAGATATACATATAATGGTATCACACGCATATATATATATATATATATGTCTTAGTCCTCTGAATTCACTCATCGGAAGTACGGCTATAAGTTATACGATCTCTTTATCAAGTTGGTCCTCAACTCGTCCCAGTTCTTCTGTTTGTTTGTTTTTTCTTCACACCAGTGCATAGTTAATATTTAGCTCAAAAATACTGAATTTTTGGAACCTTTGGACATGACAAGCAAGACAAAGTCTGCTAACCTGATTCTTCTTTTTAATTTATCATTTTTCTGTTCAGTTGTTTTGTTTTTTTAACAACCAGCAATCAAAGCCGGAGGTCAATATGGGCTTGATTGGGTTTTTGTGAAGCTCAGCTTTTATTTCCTGATTTGATGTTTTTGTTTAACTAAAGTTTAAATAAACCGTAATGGCAGTTAGTTGTCTCTTTGTTATTTTTAGGAAGTCATTGTTTGAACTACACAGAGGTCCTTACTATATCGATTCTGTATTCAGTTTTGATATATGTTAGAAAAAGTATAAAATTGTTAATTATATACTGAGATTTTTATAATATAACTTTTCCCAGGAGAAAATGTTCATATTAAAAAATATTATGAGTATTATCATTTATTTCAGTCGAATGATAAAAAAAAAAAATGATTTTCATTGATAATACTTACAAATATTTTCAGATGAATTATAGTTATTGAATTATAGTTACTTATTAATTATTACTGAAATAATGAATACTGAATTGGAGAAGTGTTTCTTCATCGTGATACACAGTAGAGATATTGGGAAAATATCAATGTATTTATATTTAAGTAAATATATATAACACATATTTCGTTCAAAATTTGTCTTAGTTCATCAATTTTTTCTCTTTTTCATTATTACTGAAAGTATTTTTAAGGTTAATTAATAGATTTTGGTCATTATCAATTCATTTTCTACATTCTTCCGTCCATCTCCTTTTTGAAAATCATTTATTTTTATCAATTTAAATCATTTTCCAAGTTTTTATAATTAAATCTATTTTACAATATAAAAAGTATGAATACTTTAGTGGGTTTGTATTAATTAATTTAATATTGATTTTCTTTCATGTTTTTTTCCTTTTGTAATGTTTACTTTCTTAAATTGATTAATTGACAAGTTTTAGTAAGAGATACTTACTTTTTATGACTTATTAAATTGATTTTTTTTCTGTAATAACCAATACTTGAATATTTAAATGTTCCTATTAAAAATATCCACTCTCATATCCAGCTCTCCACTTTAATGTTAGCGCCTGTGTATTGTATTTAATCTCTTTTTCTGTCCCTTCCTTCCCCTAATTTGGACATATTCCAATGATCCAAAGACCGATATATCGGCATCATAACAATGTTTTATCAAGATTCAAAGAATTTCATTAAAAATATTAAATTAAAATATCACTAATCAAAATAAAATATTCATATGGTATCTAATCAAATTAAAGAAAGCGGTGGACAAAAAAAATTAATCATAAATAAATAATCAAACTCTACCAATCATGTTAAAAAAGGCCGATACTTTGGTCGTTAGGATGTCCATATCTGCTGAAAATCTTTGGAGATGTTAAAAAAATAAATTATATATATATATATATATATATATATATATATATATATATATATATATATATATATATTAGAAGGGAAGAGGTCTAAATGAAATTAAGCAGAAAAGCAGAATGAAGTGAAGAGAGGAATGCTGTGAAGGGAACCCCACCCCCAAGATTGCCTTAGGGATCCCTTTCTTGAAAACGGCCTAGACATTGCCTCAGGTCCTTCCCTAATTGATTAGGCTATATTCTTTCATTGCTATATTTCCCTGGATTTTCTACTCAATTCTTACATAATTTAACCATAACCGAAATTTCTGAAACCTTAACAAAATTTACACAAATCCTTAAAGCCTTTTTAGGAATACTTTTGGAGTAAATAACTTTTCACAATATTATAAGTTCAATAACAAATAAATTTTACTATTGTAAATTTATTACTGGAATCTTTATTTAAATTTTTTTTCTGTTATTTCCGAACTAGAACGAATGAAAGATGAAAAGAACTTTTATTTAAACAAGAACTCTTATTCTAAAGTTTTTTTGAAGCAACTCGTTTCACCAAGAAGTCGATTTTTAAACTGACTTTCATTCTGAAGTACTCAAACAGATAAGAAATGAGAATCAAGTAATTCATTTCAGATAAGTTATAATTGTTATCGCCGGACAATCACGCTTTATTTCTCATTAAACTTAACTTTTTTATAATATAAATAAATAAAAATTAAATTAAATAAATGAAAATATTTAACACAAACCTATCACTTTATTCTAAAAAATTTCCTTAGTATTTTTATTTTAAGAAATTTATTTCCTCAAAAGTTTCACAGGCTTTGTTAAAATGGAATGTTTTAGAAAAATTGCATAAAG